CATCGCTATCTCGTGTACGCTATTTAGACGCAGTTATTTTTGGGATACTTATTTAGCTAAGACCATACACGAGGTATTACCAAAGGAAAAAAAATAGAAAATTGTTTTTTTGAAAGACATTTAAAAAAAAAGCTGATTTCTTAAAATTTGTATCGACGTTTTTATGTTTTAAAACTGTTTTAATCGAAATGAAAACTGTTTTAATCGAAGACCTTTAAATTATATTATATATTAATACGATCGGTATAGTATTTCTTGACACCCGACTTTGAAAACACAGTTTCAAGCAAAAGTTTCAAGTGAATATAAAAGCAAGCGCTTAAGTATAATCTAAGAGATGTTATAGAATTTAATAAGAAAAAAAAAAAAAAATAAATAAATAATAAAAAATAAAAAATAAGCCGGAAAACCTTTGCAACTCTTTAATCAAATGATATTGTTCCGGTTTTTGCTCGTTTTTTTCCCAACAGCTATTTAACCGTCCAAATTCAAAAACTCAAAGGGAAACGGAAGTATAAAATTCAAATTTAATTGAACATAGTGGATCCGAACCGGGAACCGGGAAACCAGTTTCGGGGTTTGGTGTAAAAATAATGGCTGCACTGACAAAATCGATGTTTTTATATTTCCAAAAAATATCGATATAATTCAATAGTCATCGAGGCCTGTTCCAGCTCTAACTTCTCTCACTTTCTTCTACCTGGCAACACTTCCATCGGTGTTGCTATAGAGCATTTTGTCTGAAAAAAGAAAATTTTTTTTTTTTGCAATGGAAGGTGCAGTTAAGATTAATAATTCTAACAACGCCTCGCCGTTGCCCCAGCGCCAGCAGAGGGGAAATCTAGCCAATAAGAATCTCGGCAAGCATACAGCCCCCAAGCAAAACGCCGCCACTGATGGCAATCCTGTTGAAAAAAAGGCACGATTTGGGCCGCCGAACAACCAGAATGGCGGAGGAGTAGCCGGTGGTGGTGGTGGCGGTGGTGGTGGCGGTGGCGGCGGTGGTGGCCGCGGAGGATTCGCCGGGAACCGTAATCGTGGAGGAGGAGCTGGCGGCAATCAGAACCGGCAGAGTTTCCAGGGTGCCAATAATGCTAATCAGAAGCAGACTAACGAATCGCCGAAGCCGGTTGCGGGCAATGTGCCCGCAAAGAACAATGAACCCGCTGCTGCCAGCCCAAGTCAGCCGAATCAGAATGCCGGCCAGGGTCCGAGCACTCAAGGCAATCAAGGAAACCAAGGAGGCCAGGGTAACCAAGGCGGACAGGGCTTCCGAGGACGTGGACAGAACCAGCCGAACCTGAACACTAGCCAGGGAAGTCAAGGGGACAAAGGAGGTGCCGCCAATCAGGGGGGCCAAGGTAATCAAGGAGGTCCCGGTAATCAAGGTGGACAAGGCTTCCCAGGACGTGGTGGCGGCCAAAACCAGCCGAACCAGAATGCTAACCAGGGCAATCAGGGCGAACAAGGAGGCTCTGGCAATCAGGGAAATCAAGGAGGACAGGGCTTCAGAGGACGTGGTGGTGCCCACAACCAGAATGCTAACCAGGGACAAGGCCAGAACCAGGGCCAGGGAAATCCAGGAGGTCAGGGCAATCAAGGAGGTCCAGGAAACCAGGGAGGCCAAGGCAATCAAGATGGGCATGGCAACCAAGGAGGACAGGGCTTCAGAGGTCGCGGCGGCGCTGGCCACAACCAAACTATCGGCGGCGGTGGAGGTGGAGGCGGAGGTGGTGGTGGCCAACACCAGCGTGGCAACCGCGGAAATCGCCCTGGAGGACAAGGAGGATTGAACAACACCATGATGGGCGGCGGTGGAGGTCAACGCGGCGGCGGCGAAGAATTCTTTATTGCCCAACGCCTGCGCAGCCTGGGCGGACCCACCATTGAGCTGCCGCCCGTTGAGGTTCCCGCCGAGACCAAGTTCTCTGGCCGCAACCGCCTGTACGTGGGCAACCTGACCGGAGACATCACCGACGACGAGCTGCGCGAGATGTTCAAGCCGTACGGCGAAATCGGTGAGATCTTCTCGAACCTGGAGAAGAACTTTACATTCCTTAAGGTCGACTACCATCCTAATGCCGAGAAGGCCAAACGCGCCTTGGATGGCTCAATGCGCAAGGGACGTCAATTGCGCGTCCGCTTTGCACCCAACGCCACCATTCTGCGTGTCAGCAATCTAACCCAGTTCGTGTCCAACGAGCTGCTATACCACTCCTTCGAGATCTTCGGACCCATCGAGCGCGCCAGCATCGTGGTGGACGACCGTGGCAAGCACACCGGCGAGGGTGTGGTGGAGTTCGCCAAGAAGTCCTCTGCCAGCGCCTGTCTGCGCCTGTGCAATGAGAAATGCTTTTTCCTGACTTCTTCGCTGCGTCCGTGTCTGGTGGAGCCGATGGAGGTAAACGACGACAATGACGGGCTGCCGGAGAAGGCGTTGAACAAGAAGATGCCGGACTTTTGCCAGGAGCGAAGCATCGGACCGCGCTTTGCCGACATGAATTCGTTTGAGCACGAGTACGGATCGCGCTGGAAGCAGCTGCATGGCCTGTTCAAGAGCAAGCAGGATGCCCTCAAGCGTGAGCTGAAAATGGAGGAGGACAAGCTGGAGGCCCAAATGGAGTATGCCCGCTACGAGCAGGAAACCGAACTGCTGCGTCAGGAGTTGAGGAAGCGCGAGGTGGACAACGAGCGCAAGAAAATTGAGTGGGAGATGCGCGAGAAGCAGGCCGAGGAGATGCGCAAGCGCGACGAGGAGACCATGCGTCGTCACACAAGCGAGATGCAGAGCCACATGATCCGTCAGGAGGAGGAGATGCGCAGCCGTCAGCAGGAAAACTCGCTAATGAGACAGGCACAGCAGCTCAATTCGCTGCTCGATCAGCAGGAGGGATTCGGAGGCGGCAGCAACTCCGGCTTTGACAACTTCGGTCCCGACTCGCCATTTGAAGTTTTTAGAAACAATAACAGCAACAATTCCACAATGGTTGGAAACAATGCTGGACTTGGAGGACAGGATAGCCTGGAGGCTTTCGAGTTCGTAGCTGGCGGAAATCAGCGCGGCAACAACGTCGGCGGAAATAGTGCTCCATGGGGACGCCGACGCTTTTAGACAATGAAGACACTATACGTAATGATAGATCATACCGTAATCTCATTGATTGAATGTAGAGCGCACATTTGACTTTTTACTCGGCCACGAGTGAACAACATGAAATTACACAAAAGGGATCGTGTAAGCGAATGCATTCACATTTATAACATCATTTGATTTAATATTTTTAAATATACATTAAACGCCTATCGGTCTCATCAAGAAATCCACCATGAAGTAAACATAAGGAACGGACAAAAAACCTTAACGAAATACATACACAATCCAAATCCAAATCGGCATGCTAACATGATGTGCAGTATTGTAATGAACAACAATTAAAATTTCCAATCATCTTTTAACCATTACGTACATCAATTTAATCATAACGATAATTTTAGATATATGTAGTAATTATCTCCAATAACACGATTCGATTACGTTTTGTCTATCATTCGCATTAAATATATGAAGGTATGACTGAAATTATCAATGTCTATTCGTGGAGAATTAGGATAAGGGGTCTTAGCAAGTAGTAGTTGGCCAACATTGATTTGAATTGTATTGTATGAGGGGCTACCCATCTTTAAATTGTTCTTCAATTTTAGTGTATTTTTGATCTACAACTACTGTCTACTGAATTATTTTTAATAAAAACGGCTCTGATACTCAATGATTATATTGCCTTTTTAATTTTCTAAAATACTTGTGAAACTTCAAAAATAAAGTGTTGTAAATACATTCACTAATGCAGCAAAAGTTGTAAAATTATAGTAGCTTTCTAGCTAAGGAAGATGTTTTCTATACCAAAGGCAAAGCTGAAAAGGAAAAATCAAAATCCGCATTTCTGCTCATATCTTTAGCCCCAAGGGGCTGTCCATATATTACGTCAACATGTAATCAATTGTTCAAACAAACATTTAATTTGGTCCGCAGAAGTAATCATTTATCTGCCTCTCCTTCCACCACGATGATTACGCAATTAAATGGACGACAACCAATTGTTGTTTGTTCAATTTTAGTTGAAACCAATGCGGAGAAGGACAATAAATTTTCATAAAGTGCAAATTGAGTCTCAACCGTTTCTAGCCCAAAACGTAACATATTCTTTAACCACTAAGTTGGCTGTTCAAAGCTTCCTTAAATATTAATTTGAATTTCTATGCAATTTGTGGATTTCCTTCTGGCTTTGTGTTTAGGTATATGGCTTAAGGTTGCAATATCTCATATTTGGTCTCTATTGAAAGTTTGTTCAGAGGGATCCCATTTGCGATGGAAATGTCCAGAGTTCTTGGGGTAAGCTACGAAAAAGGTAGACTCACCAGTAGCTAGAACTCGGCTGGAGCTAGTTGCGATGGCCTCTTGTAGACGCTTTCCTCGACCACATGCCCTTAGGTTTACCCTAAAATTAAAAATAGAAGCAAGAGCAAAAAATAATCTTTAACTTTCAGCTCATATTGGTTGAAATGGATGTTAATTCGTAAAATTTTAATTTAAATCGAATACTCCTCTCTCAGTCGAACTCTAACCTAAAATGGAAACTTTCTATATTGACCAAAGGGGTTTTTTTCTAATTTTTCTTTTGCCATCAATGAAAAATATAATTTTTCTGGAAATTATTCAAAAGCACAATTTCTGCTTTCATTCATAAATTAAGAAAAGCACAATGTTGACTTTATTAACCTCATAAAGACTTAAGCTATTACTTTGAAATACTTAATATTATTTATCAGTAGGGCGTGTTTGAGTTCTGAGTACTTAAGAAAGTCTTACCAATAGTAAAGTATTAATGTGGTTACAAAATTTAAACATTTTAGAAACCCGCGCTCTTTCAAAACATCGACAATAGGAATAATCGATGAAAAAATAGAAGAACACCCCTAATTTGTCCTTTTTCCAACGGTGAAACACGGTCACACCAAAACTTTGGCGTTGGCTTAAAAAAAACTGAACACAGGAAAATTGATTTTTCGCTCAAATCGAAAGCAACACCTTGGGCTACAATTTCATTTCTCGAAATCGAACTCTGGCTGGCGGATTGATAGAGACAAAGAAAAGCCAATATGTCAGCATCGCAGGTTGACCAGGTGAGTAAAGGGCGGAATTGGCGAAAGCTTTCCGGCCGGAAAACGGCGTCGCCATTGTAGGGAAACCTGAGGATTGTAAGAACTGGGTTTTCCACCGCAGAAACGTGCCCTCAACAAGCTGAAGCACGATTTGGAGCCCTTCCGGACAGCCATCGTGGGAGCCTACGGCGTGATCACCTGGGAGAAGCAGTACTACGCCGGCGTGGTGTTCGGGGCCATCAGCGTCCTGTACCTGGTGCTCTGGTACCTGGACCTCTCGCTGATCACCCTGCTCTCACTGCTGGGTCTGCTTGGCCTAATACTAGACTACGTGTTCCCCACGGTCTCGCGCCTGATCTTCGGAGGCGGCAACTGGGACGGCGATCAGGAGGCCAAGTTCGAGGACGTCTGCGGTCAGGTGTGCGCCGTCAAGGGCAAACTAGTGCTCTGCTATGAGTACCTTTTCAAGGAGCGAAAGTCCACAGTGGTGAGTGGTCATGGCAGGCTCTAAAGGCTAATAGACTCTTAAATGCCAGTTGAAAATAATATCGATAGGTCCTCTTAGGTTCTCTAAAAGACATTAAGAACTTTGGTGCCTTAACACATATTTTTGAAATCCAGACATTGTTTTTGAACTATACAATTTTTATAAATAATAAAACCCTCCAACTGTAAATTTTAAGGCTAGTGGTTCGGTCTGATAATATACTAAAGGCAGTTGCGGTTGTAAGAGAAAATAAATATTTCCCATTCAAATTGTTTACCTCAGAAGCTCTTATGGAATAGAACACGAGTTCAAGCAATTGTTTACTTCAGCGCTCAAGCATTTTAATGAAAGCTGTGTTTTTAATGAAATCCAAACCTTTCTTCTTTTTTAAGCTAATTTAGCAAATTAACAATATTTTATAAGGCTTTCTTTATAACAAAACAATCAAATAGTTCCATTTTTTGCTCACTTTTATATTTTTGTACAGTTCGTGATCATCATCAGTCTGGTACTCCTAGTTCTTGCCTGGATTGGGGCCATAATCAACAATCTTCTGCTGATGTACCTGACCACGCTGCTCATTGCCATGTGGCCGGGTCTGCAGGACAAGGACGTCTTCAAGGGCATCACCCAGAAGGTATCGAAGTTTGTCAAAGATAAGATTCAATGCGGCAAGAGGAAGCTGCAGTAAAGAATATACCATCTCAACCAATCAGATACACTCATCACCATTTGACCAAAAATATTTAACAAACCTAAGTCATCTACTTGCCATCATGCACACATCGCAACTGTCACTAAATACACCATCGAGCATTGAATTTGAACTAAGAATATCTTAAATTCTTAAAAGTGCAGCAGCATATTGAAAGTATTCTCATCGGATATCTAGCTAATCCCGTCGTGGTCTTCGCCCCATCACATCTCCTACTATAAGTTTGTAACATGTAAGAGCGAAGAAATCTCGAAGCAAGGCGTACGGAGAGAGAAAAAGAACGCGCCACAAAAGACAAGACATTTTTGTGATTATTTTGTGAGTTAATTGAAATTTATGATAATCCCGAGTAAGATACAAAAGAACTTAAGCGTCTAATGAACTATATTTAAATAAAGATTTCAACTGAATAGATCAAATAATGGCAAACGGTGTCTATCTGCCCCTTCCTCTTGATCTGGAACGTGTGCGGGATCTGGCGTGCTTGCTTTTCTTGGTCTTCTTTTTGTGCTTGCTGGGATGCCGGCGATGGTCCTCTTCCGGGCTCTCATCGCTCTCCAAACTGGAGTCGTTATCCGCACGCTTCGATTTACTTTTGGACTTTTTCGAGTGCTTTCTAGACTTTCGGCTGGATGATTTTTTCTTGTGCTTTCTGCGCTCGTACGCCGAATCCGAGTCGCTCTCCGTGGACTCTCCCGTATCGTCCGCCTCGTCTGAACTGCTCTTCGCCTTTCTGCTGCTTCTGGGACTCGGCGAACGGCGACGATCACGATCCTCTCGTTTAGATGTAGAGGAGCTGTTGCTTTTGGGACTTGGCGAGCGCCGCCGATCACGCTCCTCGCGCTTGGATGTGAAGGAGCTATTGCTTCGGTAGTCCTGCACATACTTTTTTCTATCACGATCCTCTTCCATGCGGGAATGCGACTCATCTTTGTAAGTCCTTTCGCTGCGGTGCTCTGTTTTGTTTGCTTTTCGGTTCTCGTCTTTGTATGATATGCGACCTTCATCCTTGTACAATTTTTTGTCTTCACCCTTGTAAGCTTTATTGTTTTCATCCTTGTGTAGTCTACTGTCCTCATCCTTGTTAGATCTATGATCTTCATTTTTGTACGATGGTTTATCTTCATTCTTGTAAGGCCTGCGATCTTCGCCTTTGCTGGATCTCTGTTCCTCCGATTTGTAGCTCTTTCGTTCTCGATCATCGTCCCGATGTGATTTACTCTCGTCCCTGCGACCTCTGTCTCTTCCTTCAGATGATTTCTCGTGTTTTATAATAATTTGGCCGTGCTCATTTTCCTGTTTCTTGAACTCCTCATATTTGGCAGAGTCTGAAAGTAGAAATCAGTTCATAAGTAGTGCAGAGAAATACCTTTTCCAATCCCGACATACTTATGCACTTTCCGTATTGTGAGTACTCCTTTCGGGATACTGGCTGACAGAGAAACTCGTTGAAAGCCTCCTTGGCACCACCAATGGCCATTTTGACAATAACTCGCCCTGCATGATCGTCGAATCCTTCAATTTGCCCGTACTGGTCCTTCTGCTTGCCGCCCAGGATGCGGACGTAAGCCTGCTTCTTGATCTCTAGCACCTCGTTCTTTTCCGGCTGCACCAGCAGTGCCTTGGGTTTGAGCGCCTTATCAGCGCCCAAGCCCATGCCCTTGGGCCGCAGGAAGGGAGCATCGTCAATGGGCCCGGAACCCTTCTTTTTGGGTGGCGGATCCACCCAACCCATGCCGCGCAGCATTGCTAAGCCAAACTGTTGAATCGGTATGTTGTCATAGTCATCAAGGGTTGCCTCCTTGGCGCCATCAAGAGGAAGTTCGTCTGCTTTGACAGCAGGCAGAACGAGTTTTTGGCCGTCTAAGCCTTCGGCTCCATTGCTCTCACTGGCGGCCAGCAATTCCCGTGCAGCCCGCTGTTCCAGGCTTTCCGCAGTACCACCTGCAGTGACTTCCGCGATGGACTGAGCTGCTAGAGTAATTTCCTCTGGGTCAGGTTCCTCCTCGCCCAGCAGCACCGCCCGCCTCTTCATCAAGCTGGCCAGAGCAGAGGAAGTCTTCTGGCTGCCCTGCATTTCGATGACCAGAGGGGCAGCCTCAACCTTTTCGCTGCAGGCACGAAATATAATATTGACGATTTTAACGAAATAATGGTTTTAAACTTACGCCACTAGCAGGATTTCTTTGCCCTCCAAACATTTAATCAGCTCCACTTTGTTTTCCTCTTTTGGCTGTTTGCTGGGCAGGATATACGGTTTCTTGGCCACCTTACTGAAGCCAAAAGATATCTTCTTGGCGTCCATGGCTCTAACCAGATTTTTTTCTAACTAGTTAATCAATTAAAACACTTATTTATGATGAAATATGAATAATGCCGCCGGAATCGTTTGTAAACAAAATGCAACAGCTGTTTCGCAGAGAGGTGTTTTTCGCGTTGTCATCGATATCGATATTTGTTTGAAATCGAAAAAATGGTGTTTACACTTTTGCTTGTATGGGATAGTGATTTTTTTTTTTATAAATACTGAAATAAATAGTAGGCACAATAAATCCACAATTAAAACAGTACTGACTGGTCATATTGGTTACTGTTATTATGCATACATCTTATCAATAAGTCGTTATCCCAAATCAATCAGCTATAAAAATGTTCAACATGAATTCGGTGATCACTGTCAGCGTGATCCAGTGAAAACATCCAATCGATAAGAAGAGCCGTCTGGTGTAAACATACTATTTTAAGATATCGATACTTAGGAGAGCTGCTGCTTCAAATTGGACAGAATTTGAATTAAACCCTTAAGAAATAAGTCAAACTAGCACAAAGTAAGTGCTTAATTTATACAAATTAGCTGCAGAAATTGCCTGACGTAATTAGCAAGCCGGTCCGCTCAGTTTTCTATCGAACATTCTCGAATAGTGTGTCATCGGCGGGTCTAACCTCACTCATTCTCTTTCAAACAGCGGCAGCGCCAGCACGAGTTCATTTGTTTTCACGCAGAAATAAATTAAACAGCCAGAAACATGTTCGGTGGACAGCAGCCAATACTCGTGTTGAGTGAGTATGAAATTTACACCTCGTAGAGCCCCCTTGCAATTGAATTACTCGTCGGCAGGTCAAAACACAAAGAGAGAATGGGGCCGCAAAGTGCAGTTGGAGAACATCCAAGCCGGAAAGGTATGACTCACATGTCTGGGACTTGTGTCTCGGGTTTTCGCGTTTTCCCGGCCATCTGCTGATCGAAATCACTTTTTCCAGGCCATCGCCGATGTGATACGCACCTGCCTGGGTCCCCAGGCCATGCTGAAGATGCTTATGGACCCCATGGGCGGCATCGTCATGACCAACGACGGTAACGCCATCCTGCGCGAGATCACCGTGCAGCATCCGGCTGCCAAGAGCATGATCGAAATCGCCCGCACACAGGATGAGGAGGTGGGCGATGGCACCACGTCGGTCATCGTCCTGGCCGGCGAGATGCTGGCCGCCGCCGAGCCCTTCCTCCAGCAGCAGATCCACCCCACCGTGATCATCCGCGCCTACCGCGAGGCCCTCGAGGACATCGTCGGCCACCTGCAGTCGCAGCTGAGTGTCCAACTGGACGTCAAGGACAAGGCCAAGATGGCCGAGGTGGTCAAGGCCTGCGTGGGCACCAAGTTCATCGGCAAATGGTCGGACCTGGCCGTCAAGATCGCTTTGGACGCCGTCGAGACGGTGACACTGAACGAGAATGGCCGTCTGGAGGTGGACATCAAGCGGTAAGATTTGTAGGCCTATCTATTGTAGTTCCATAAATCAAATGATTGTATAAATGGTTAAACAATTTAGAGAACTCGAAAATGTTTCACTCCCTTTTTGATTTTTGTCTAGTAGTTCTTTACCCAAATTTAATAGGAAATTTGTTGTTTTAACTAGCGGTTTTGTTTAAAGTTCCTATAAATTTCATGTAAATCTGTTTCTTATTATACATCAACAGTACACATATTTGATTTTTAGGCATGCTTAAATTGAACCTTTAAATCCATACCCCTTTATATTTTGATTTTAAATCTTTCTAGATGTGGGTAGCATTATTGTTATATTTTTTTTAATAACATTATATATTTATTTAACTTTTCAATATTTCCACAGCTATGCCAAGGTGGAGAAGATTCCCGGTGGTGCCATCGAGGAGTCGTGCGTGCTGAAGGGCGTTATGATCAACAAGGACGTGACGCACGCCAAGATGCGTCGCCACATCGAGAATCCCCGCATCGTGCTGCTGGACTGCTCGCTGGAGTACAAGAAGGGCGAGAGCCAGACCAACGTGGAGATCATCGGGGAGCAGGACTTTACCCGCATGCTGCAGATCGAGGAGGAGTTTGTTGAGCGCATCTGCGCCGACATCATTGCCGTGAAGCCGGATCTGGTCTTCACCGAAAAGGGTGTTTCCGATTTGGCACAGCATTACCTGCTGAAGGCTGGCATCACTGCCATCCGTCGGCTGCGCAAGACTGACAATCTGCGCATCGCTCGTGCCTGCGGTGCCACCATTGTGAACCGCACTGAGGAGCTGACCGAGAAGGATGTGGGCACGGGAGCTGGCCTGTTCGAGGTCAAGAAGATCGGCGATGAGTACTTCACCTTTGTGACGGAGTGCAAGGAGCCCAAGGCCTGCACCATCCTGCTGCGCGGCGCCAGCAAGGACATCCTGAACGAAACGGAGCGCAACCTGCAGGACGCCCTGCATGTGGCCCGCAACTTGGTGCTGGAGCCACGCGTGGTGGCCGGCGGCGGAGCCGTGGAGATGGCTGCCTCCCAGCTGCTGACGCGCAAGCAGGTCAAGGGACCGTACACAGCGGTGGCCCACGCCCTGGAGATCATACCGCGCACGCTGGCCCAGAACTGTGGCGCCAACACGATCCGCGCTCTGACCGCCCTGCGCGCCAAGCACGCCTCCCACACCGGCGAGGGTGTCTGCGCCTGGGGCATCGACGGTGAGTCCGGCGAGATCGTGGACATGAACGTGAAGAACATCTGGGAGCCACTGGCCGTCAAGCTGCAGACCTACAAGACCGCCGTGGAGACGGCCATCCTGCTGCTGCGCATCGACGACATCGTCTCCGGGTCCAAGAAACGCGGCGGCAACGAGCCCACCAACCCGGCCGCCATGGCCCAGGGCCAGGAGTAGTAGCCCGCGATCAACCACGTGTATTAATAATGCTTACTATCCTTTAATACTTAATTTAACACACAAAAAAGAAATGAAAAAAAAACACAAAATCCCACACACGCCACCCTCAAATGTTTAACATTTAGTTCGGGCCAGGCGATGCTGGCTTCTCTGGAAGGAGGAATCGCATCCGCAGGCCGCCTACACACAAATTCTGCTGCATTTGCTCTCATTAACAGTACACAAATAAAATTGTTAAAACTCATAGTTGTTTTGGTTATAGTTTGATAGTTTAATAGTTTTACATATTAGTAAAGCTTTTTTAATATTCTGCTTTTGGATGACTTCTACATTTACTTTGTACAAATCTAAGCTTATTAATTCATTCATTCAACATTTAAACAAGTGCATTTCTCATGAGTATGTCAACAAAACAAATGATAGAAATACTCAGAAGTCAATAAGAACAAAAGTGTCCATATTAGGATTACTTTTCTTCCTGACCCACTTCATATAGCCTTTCGTCCATCAATTTGAGAACCTCCAAGCCAATGGATGTGAAGTGGGGCTGCAGGTATCGGGCAAACAGCTCCAGGCAGTTGGGATCCTTCTGATCCTCCTCCAGTTGCATGTGATCACGGATCCAATGCAGCAGTGGTGGCTTGTGGGAGTGCACAATACTGGGCACGCTGAGAAGCAGATCGGTCTTCTGGATATCCTGCGCGTAATCCTCACGAGCATCGGAGCGACAGGCCACGTAGAGCATCTCATAGGGCTGCTTTTGGCTGAGATCCGCCTGTGGAGCGGCAATCAGTTGCAGGTCCGTGCTGAGTTTGTACCATCGCAGTTTGTGGACCAAACGAAGGTTCCAGCTGGGCAGTAACTGCTGCTCCAGCGCCACCTGATGTTGCGCTGAATTGGTGCACCAGATGGCCACCAAGGACCGTGTGTGTGTGAGCCTGGAGAGCGGGAGGAGCGACAGCTGATCGTTGCTCAGCATGGAGTATCCCAGCTCCTGCTTGGCCCGCTTCAGTCTACGGATGTACTTGTTGCGCCAGGGGGGATCCAGCACGATGAGATCGTAGGTGGGCAGGAGTTGGTGCAGCAGTGCTGGCAGATTGTCCACATTGTGGTTGAAGAACTTGGATCGGTTGGGAATTAAGTATACGCAGCGTGCATCATCCTGCCCCTGGAACCGCTGCATCCGACCGCTTTCGTTGGCTCCATGGAGTTGGGGCACGTTGTAGGCATCCTCCCAGTACCTGGCTATTGAAGCAGTGTCCTCCGGTTCGAGGGGCTTGGTCAGAAGCTCCAGATAGCCATTCACCAGCTGCAAATCCTCCAAGCAGGATGTCCGCTCCTCGCTGGCGTTCCTCTTGCGCTTCCTGGACTTCTTACCACCATTCTCCTGAAGCGCCTTCTTGGCCTGGAACTGGAAGAGCTCAGACTTAAGCTGGAACTCGCCATATGCCTCGTTTATCAGTTTCCTGTGATTTAAGAAAACCGCACATTTTGTATCTTCTTGTTTGTTTTGCAGTTTCAACATTTCACAGCTGGAGTAACATATAGTCGTTATCAAAAAAATCATCGTTGCATCTATCGATAGTTTCCTAAGGCGCCAAATTTAGCAAAGTTTGAATATTACGTATCCGTATATAGTTTTTAAGTAAGCTAAATTAAAAATTTATTTGGACGTAGACCTAAGATTATACGAATTAAACTAAAAGTTTAAAGAAGTTAATTATATTTCATTAAAAATGTAGAGTTTTTTGAGTAAAGCCAACCCCAAAACAAAAGATAATATATAATTCAGATATACCTTTAATGATTTTCTCTAATTCATGTTTTTGTTTATCCTCAAGATAAGTTATCACAGAAAAACAAATCAGTACCTTTAATACTAATACTTGCATGCATTTTAAATACATAATGATAATCTATAATTTAAAATACTTCATAATTTTCAGTGTTCTTTGAATCGAAGAAATCTTTCATATGGGTAAGTAATTTCGCATGGAGTTTTTGGTGACCCCTACGATTGTAGTAATGCAGCTCATCGCTGGAATTTTCGGCTACAAATCTGAGCATTGTCCACAAGCCCAGCTCATATTTGCAACGCAGTGGAATGTGTTTTTGGCCTTTTTGCAGGACGAATAAGGCTGGTACAGTATCTAGGCAAAACTTTTTGGGAGGACTGACTCCGCGAATATCCATTTTGAACAGACTAACTGACTCCTGCTTCACTTTATCGGCCAGCCGATCCAAATTTATCATAAGACTATTGTTAACTTCTGTCCCATTTTGCAGGGAGTTGTAGAAACACAATGCTATATCTTCATCGGAGGCGTATATAAGTTCGTTCCAGCTGGCCAAGTCGATATCCTCCACCTTGGGCTTAATGCTTAGGGGTTTTCTTTCCTTTCTCTTAATCACCCGCTCGCAGAATTCCCTTAGGCTTTTCAGTTTGGGCAGTTTTGGTCCAGCTAAATTGCCAAAGAAGAATACTTCGCCCGTCGCAGCTATGGCGTAAATCAGTGGAAGCGAATCCACCGAGCAGCCTCCGTCCCTACGGAGAAAGCTATAATCATTGGTATTGAAGATATATGCCAGCCACAAGTCCTCGACGTAAAAGTCCATCTCCTGACGTAAATCCTCATGGGCTGCCAGTTGGTAAGCCATTTCCATCCATTTCTCCAGAGCTTCAAAATCATCGGCAAACACATGGAGCATTATGAGTGCGGGCCGCTTGTGGATTTCCCAAGTTCTTCGCATATTGTCACGGTAGGGAAGGCGCTGCAGTCGGTCCTTATACTTTTCCGGGAAAAAGGTCTTGAAGTTGGGAGGCGCCTCTTCCCAGACCATGTTTGCTGAATTTGTTTTCACTTGGAAATGAAATAAACAATTGACTCATCAGGTGGCTAGTGAAAGTATTTGCTTATCTATAGCGGTGTGCTCGATTTGCTAAAATATCGATAGAAAACAATACAAATTCAAAAGGAAATAGTAAAAATAAATATATGACTAATGAATCCAAAATTTCATATTTAAACCAAATATTAAGTTAATTTTATATAAAAAGCATTTTATATTTCATAATTTAATAATAACATATTTTAATTAATATGGAAAATATTAATATAATTTATTTTATATATGATTCAAATTTAAATTAAATATTTCTATTAATATTTGTAAAAATATATTATTAAAAAAGATTATTTAAGATTTATAGATTTAAAATAACTAAAAAATGAAAATCAACCGAAAAATATTGAAATTGATTATGAATTCCCTAGGTGTTGACCTTACAACTTAAAAAAAATAATATATATTTTTTAGAGTTTAGATAATTATGACGATTTGTTTAAATGTAAAGCTCTTTTTCGGAAATGGCTCGTTTAAAAACAAAGACTTTGTTACCAAGCAACCTGCCACTTGCAACCTTGTTTATACAGAAATCAATAAAATATCTCAGTAAAAACTATTAAGAACTCCATTGCAAGACTGAAATTACTTAGCTTTCCACAATGGCTGACCAAAGCGAGCTGGATCAATTGGCCACTGCCGAGTTGCTACGGCTTCAACGCCAACATCGGGGTCTCCAACTGGACCTTCGGGGACTCCTCGAGGAGAAGGCCAAGCGACTGAAGAAGCAAAACCACATGATTAATGTGCTGCAAGTGGAACACCAGAAGCTAAAGGACGAGATAAAGACACTTGAGGGTGGCACCCATGCCCGCAAGAACACAAATGTGGGTGGCCGTTTCAGAAATTGATGAGGTTAATCAATAGACCAACACTTTTTCAGAGGGAGAAGCACCTGGGAGCGTTGCAGGGGCAACAGGCGGATCTCCAAAGAGTGCTTCAGAATGAGCGGACCAATCTATGGGAGCTGGAGGGACACATCCGGAAAATGGAGAAGGAGATCGATGCCCTGCGGCGCAACGAAGTGCCCGATAACTGCTACAAGGACACCATTTGCAAGGTGCAGAAGAGCGTGGTCAAGTTGGAGAACCGCCTGGATGTGGTGAACAAAAAGTGCAGCGATGTCCTCACGGAAAACAGTAAGATGCGGGATGCTATTAACCACATGCTGCAGGATCGGTAAGAAAGAGTCAGAGCAATTTTATGTAGGGGTCACCAAGTTGGTGCTATAGGTTTGAATACGGGGTCACCAAGCTGATTACGACTGCACCAAAAAAAAAAATGGTCATAGAAACTAAACAATAATTAATAATTTTGAACTATTGGGTGTGAAAATTTTCTCAACAAGATAAGTATTGAATTTTTACCACAAAAGAATAAAAATAAAACTTATGTGGTTTAAAACTCTTCGGTATAACAATGAAGCTAAAAAGTATGGGTTATTGAATTAATACTTATACTTAAGACTGTCTGTAGTTTATTTTCAAGACACACTTGTTTAAACTAAATTTTCATTTTTTTTTTGGGTGCTTTGCTATTATAATTAAATATTTGAACCCCCATTGCCGCAACTTTAGGGCAAACTTTAATGACATGTGGCAGTTGATGGTCACGCAGTTCAACGAGGGCAAAAAGTTCATCATGGACCTAATCGATCAGTCTACGCTGGCCTTTGACCAGCGGGAGGAGCTCTGCAACAAACTGTCCGTACTGAAGGACCGCAACGAGAACGACAAGGTGATGCACATCCAGGAGATGCGCGAGATGCAACGTAGACTGGAGCACGACGCCAAGTTGCAGAAATTCTTCGACATCAAGGGCCAGAAGCGACTCAATCCGGAGCTGGAGCAGCGCGAGCTGGACAAGAAGCAGAGCCAGAAGGAGAACTATGAGCGTCAGCTCCTGGAGTACAAGGAGATCATCGAGAAGATCAAGCTGCTCTACGGCGAGGAGGATGCGGAGCGACTGGTGGCCCAGTTCAAGCGGCAGGAGGACGAGAACTTCGCCCTCTTCAACTATGTCAACGAACTGAGCCACGAGGTGGAGGTGTTGAACGATTCCACGCAGGAACTCCAGGATGAAATAGGTGAGTCTACAAAAGTTTCCTCTAAATCATAAAATAGACTCTATCTATATCCTTTAATCCACAGAACGTCAAAAATCGGAGCAGACAGAAAAGGAGTTGAAGCTCAAGACTGAGGCTCTCGACTATCTGAATGCCGAAATGGAACGAATCGAGCAACTGGCTGAAGAAACACGGGAAAAGAAGCGCACTCTGATCATCAGGCTAGAGCAACTGCTCAAGGGCATCGAGGATATATTCAGGTGCGACTTATAAGTATACCTATACCATTACCACCAACTAACTGACAATCGATTTGTAGACAATTGGCCTGTGACGATGCCCCTATTCTGAATGTGCTTAGCACGAAAACCTTTTTGACAGTGCACAATGTGAAGCTTTTCATCGGCGTTATTGAGCGACGGGTCAATCTGATCATCAGTGCCATTAACATCGAGGATAATTCCAACAAAATACTGGCCAGAAAGGATCGAGTTCCCAAATTCAACATACGGGAATCGGCCAAGACTAAGAATTGAGCATAAGTTCGGCCTACAGATCAATAATAATTTTTATCAGGATCACATAACCATCACTCATCTATCTATAACCAACTTAAAGTATTGTATCAAAGCAATATATTGCTTTTTTTCTTAAATAGATTTTAGTATCAACTAGTTTTGAAGTTCTTTCAATACACTCAATAAATAATAAAATTTATGCTTTTAAAATTGACCAAGAGTCGGTATAAGAAATAATAATAATAATAAGATAGCTTTAAATATAGTCTAAACATAATACTCTTAAAGGGTCATGCATAATATAGTTTGATCTACAGTGGTTAAAAAAAAGAGAACAAAACTCCTAGAACATTCTCCACATCCGCGTTAATAAATTTACATATAGGGTTAGCACCCTAAGTGGTAAATAAATTAGGTTTTAATCCCATTTAAAAAAAAATCATGAGCCGAAACATAGAATTGTGACATAGGGATACTTAAATTTTGTTGACTGCCTTTTAATATATCCTAGAACGGCACTGCCTTTTTTCAGCATGGAAGTAAAATGATCCCATAGGATATTTGTTATTTTGAATAGTAAACCTTTAGTTATTGTCTGTAACGATCATTGAAAACTATCAACAGACTCTGCCCTTTTTGAGCGTAATTTTAATTGATATTTTTTATTTTTCCTTGGCTTAGGTTCCCATGGGCTGGGGAAATAAAGAGAATGGGCGCCGAATATCTGCATTTAAATCTATTCTAATCACAAGGGAGCTTAACTAGTTTCCGGACTTAGGACCTGGTCTCAATGCTTCTGCTCATCGCATCCCGAATCATAACCTCGAAGTGCTGAATGTTGGTCATCACGGTCAGGCTGTGGGCGCACTGGTCGGCATTGGGTGCGTTGCTGATCACCCCGAACAGGAAGTGGCGGGAAGTGTTTCGGGCGGAGAAGATGTTGGTCTGCATCTCGGACGTGAATCCACCGCCACTGTCGCCCTGGCAGGCTAACGACTTGCCCTGCGTGAAGATGCAGAACTTGTCCGCCTGGATGTCCCGCAGATTCTGCCGGCACACGGAGTTCGCCCTGGACACGGCCGGCACGAATTGCAGTTCGTGCTTGTTCTCGATGCTCCAGCCGGCGAACTGGCCCGGCACCCCATCCGTGACGCTCTCCTTCTCCGCGAAGCTGGTAAAGGTCACGCAAATGGGCCGGATCACGTGGCTCAGCTCGAACGGCTCGTCGAGGGTCAGCAGGGCCAGATCCTGGTAATAGTTCTCCGTTCGACCCTTGTAGCCACTGCGTGGAATAAATTAAATTATTACTTATGCTTATAATTTATGCTAATTTCTTATCTGCTTACGGCGCTATTTCGATGAGCCTCACATCCCGCCGCTTGTCATCCGGCGTAGTCTCTCCGTAGTTGCGGTAGAACTTGGCCGCAATCACCCGAAATGTGTCGTAGCTGTAGGCCTGTCGGGTGCCCTCGTCGTATACGCAATGGGCGGCGGTAATGACGAGGTCTGGAGTGAGCAGCGATCCGCCACACTGGAAGTGGTAGTCCCTCTCGTTGTGCCATACATAACTAAAAAAAAAAAAAAAAGAATCTTAAGCATTTCTGGCTGGTAAGCTTACGAAGTGATCACTTACAGGCCCACATGCCATGGCACCACCGTGTTGTTGATGGTATACCCGTTGGCCGAGAAGCTCTTGGTGGGCGTGGCTATCAAGCCGCAGTCCTGCTCGCACCGCTGACGTCCGCGGTTCCAGTAGCCGCCCTTCATGCATTTCATCTCCGGCAGGCTGTTTAGGGTCTTGAACCCGGTGGCACAGACGAACTTCACTTCGGTGCCGGGCGGATGGAACGGTTTGCGGCAGTCCACCACCTGTCCGTTGTGGGTGCACAGTGCCTTGGTGGAGTAACCCTCAAACTCGCCGGCAGTGCTGCAGTACTCTGGGGAAAGGCAAGAAGTGCGAATCAGAAATGATGGCCCACAAACAGCCCTAACCGAGCCACTCACTCACGCATTTCGGGACCGTATTCGTACTCCACTTCTTGTTGGCGCAGTAGCTGGTCTCCTCGCCCTCCAGCACGAAACCCGGCTTGCAGGAGAAGCGCACGGTTCCGCGGGTGATGGGTCCCGTGAGGATGCGGCTGCCCTTGCCGGTCAAGATGGGCCGTTCGTCGCCAAGGGGCAGCGGGCAGCCCAGCAGCTCCAGCGGGGTCTCCACCACGAGAGGAGTGGTCTCCTTCTTGGTGGTGTTGCAAAGCAAGGGCGCCTCATCCGAACCATCGTAGCAGTCGTTCTCTCCGTTGCAGGACAGGGATCCCGAGATGCAGCCACCTGTTCCGCACTTGAAGGAGTACGCCGGACATTCCATATGACCGCACAGCCGCACCGACTCGTCGAAGCCAGTGCCATCCGCACAGTCGTCCTTGCCATCGCACAGGAAGTTTCCCTTGTCCAGGCAGATTCCGGATGGGCACTTGAACTCGTTGTCCCTAAAAAGTAACGTTTCCGTTAATGGTTGTGATGGCTGAGAAAAATATTGAGCCCAGTGAATCTCTTCCGAGAATCGTAAAGAAAGAAACAGTGAGTGGTTTTCGTTTCTTGTGAATTTTTTAAGCACTTCAAAAAAACCCTCCTCCATAAATGATTCATATTGCAAAAGCCTTGTACTAGGCAACTTCTCCAAATGAATTTAGAAAGTAACTTGAAACGCTTGCATTTCTGACTCTTTCAATATTTAAAAAAAACATTTTAAAAACATTTTCTTAAAATTTAAATACGCTATTTATAATATTACTGGCAATTGCCCTGCAGACGGCGATCGTGCTGTCGTATATCGTCTTCGTTGCCGCAACGCAATGGTGTTTCGTCTGAGCCGTCGGCGCATTCAGTGACTCCATTGCAGCCCGCCGTCCCAATCACACAGGCTCCATAGGTGCACTGGAAGTAGGGCTTGGAACAGTGCTGCCGCTGGGAGACACAAGTCAAGGCCGTCTCATCGGAGCCATCCGGGCAATTCTTGTCGCCGTTGCAGACTTCGAACTGCGATATGCAGCTGCCGTTGTCACACTCAAACTGAGAGCTCTCACATTCCGCAAATACTGCAATTATTATTTTTTATTAAATAGAAATATTTTTTAAAAACTGCTGAAAGAATTTTGTAAATTCCTGTTAAAATCATTGAAAAATTTCAAATTTGTGATAATTAAATGTAAAGCATAGAATTAATAAACAAATTAAAAAAAAAAAAATTAAATTTCAAATTATTTAAAACAAGAACTTAAATTGTTTATCACAAATTTGAAATTTAAAATCAATATCGAAATATATATAAATATGCAAAGACATCTTTTCGCGGTTTTTCTAGATTATAATAATTATAATTGTCTAGTTAGCTAATAATTCTCTGTACTTATAAATAACAAGTGTTCTTTACATATTTACATATTTAAATGTAACACTTAACAATTGATTAATTGATCTACAATGTGTTCAGGAGAAATGATTTTATAAGATTTTATTGTTTCTGAAGCAAGGTTTTCAAGTACGACTTTAAACTGCCGGCTTTTAACTAACATATTATGTGTCTAATATTATTTATTTCCGCAAGACACGCTCTGGCTTAAAATTTGAAATGCTCTCTTGTTTATACAAAACAATTTGAAAAATCAGAGATAAACAAAGATGACTGATGAGAATGCAACGCGCGATTTCAAGATGAACCGGCTCAAATCTTGTTTTGAGACTTTTTCTCTGAGAGAAACTTCGTTTGTAAATCAATTTGTAGACGCCAGTGTGTTTGCTCTGTACAGTGAACAGCATACTCTCGCATATATGTACGGAAAAGGTTTATTTTCGTTCGATTCGTATTATCATATTGAACTTTACTCACTTGGTTTGAGCCTCAATGTGAACGCACAAAGAAACAGTAGATTTGATAAAATTGATTTAAGATGCATAATCTCTGTGCTTAAATAGATTTTTCCGATGCACTATTAATGCACTTTAGAGCACAGAACACTCACATAGATATTCTTAAATAAAGTGCGTACTGATAAAGTCGATTTGAGAGCACGTACCGCCGAGCTTAGAACGAGTTCTACCGAGCTCACAAAGTGAACTGATCTGGGCTATATTCGCGCTGGGATCTTATAATAATAATCACAAAACACGTTTTAAGAGCACCACATCAGAAACGCTTTGACTGCGAAGAGTCTAATCTAGTCAAGTGAACAGTGTATTTTGAAGAATGAGAACGGTATTTCATTTCAAAATATATGTTTTCAAAGTTGTTTATTAAAATAGCCTAGTAAAATAATAGAGAATTCAAATTAGTTTTTTGTTATTCGCAAAGCCGAATAATTTCACTTATATAATTTAAATCTTGTTTAATTATTGAATTATTTTTTGTAAATAATTAATTAATTCTTTGTTAATGCATTTTTATTTGGGAATTTAATAGATGATCAAATGACTTGAAATTTGTAAAATTTTTTAATAAAGCAAACTTATTGTGCAATGCTTAATCATACATTTCAAAAATCCACTATAGCGCCAATTTTATTTGAAATTGAAGACCGTGAGATAGATCGCGCGCTATGGCGTTGCCAGACCAAATGTGGTGGTTGAATACACTGCATATTGCCATCGGAAACGCGAAAACAATCGAAAGTAATTAAGACGGAGGAAAAAAAGGGCTTGGAATCGATAGTATCAATGCATGTGCATTTCTTCACATATTACACGAAACCTTGGAGGCGCCATGCGAAAAATATGTAAAACCAACAATAGGTGGCGACAGTTTTGTGTAAAATTGGTAAAATATATGTAAAATGTATAACAAGTGTATTGCAGTAGAGCGAAAAACCATTTTTGTAAACATAAGTATAAGTAAGAGTATAAGTGAGACTGGCAGCGCTGAATGTTTCTGTAGTAAGGCTTGCGAGCTAAATTTTATTTTTATTTTAAGTAGTAAAGTTTTAGTTGCTGTAATATTTTTTTCTTTTTTTTTTTTTGATTGTTTTTTTTTTGCTTATATTTGTACAGAACACAAAATACTGAACATCAAATCAAGAAAGTACGCTTGAAATGATTAAGCATGCTTATAGATCGTCAGCATGAGTTGCTCAGACTATCTGGCATCCATATCCTCTTCTGCAGTCCGAAACTTACCGTTACTTATCTATAAGAGTTGTATTTTATAATAATATACATATAAACCACCAAATAGAGAACCACTGATTGTCCATAAAAAATCCAAGCGCAATTCGTAATTTGTTTAAATCGTTTTGTTTAATTTATTTGTTTCATTTTCCACATTCTCACTGGTTGCTGTTTGTTTTGTGTTTGTTCTTTTTTCGTATAGTTTATATTGATAATTTACAACTTACGGAGCTAACATAGAATGGCTTTAAATTAGAGTTACATAGATTAAGTATAAACGGAGCTTGCGGGTCCAATCGGCGATCGCGGGGAGGGGAAAGTACGAGTAGAAAATGTATCTGCAAAGTATCTGTAGGTCTGATCTGATGGAAATACGTATTTAAGGGAAAAGTAGTAATCTCGATCTGGATAGGCTGCTCCTGCTCCGAGGGTCGGAGAGCTTAAAGTAAAAGCCACTAGCAATGTACACGTATGTAGCGATTATTATTACTACGAATGCACTGGTATTACGTAAGTTAGTAGTAGGTAAGTGGTAGGATGCAGTACTATATGCAAGACTTCTCCGATTCGGTCTCTATTTTACGTATATCTGTTGCTACGATAATCCACATTTAAATCTTTAAGTATTGTATTTTAGCGTCTATTCTTGGTTTCGCGGTGGCGGGGAATACCCCAATCGATCCACGCCTCTCCTTCGCCACTTTCACGTCATCGTTTCGTTCAGTGTATGTATACAGTAACGTATTCTGTTCGCATCTGCGTTTGCAATTGCGGTTGCGTTTAAAATCTATAACATTTAACTTATTCTTATTTACGTATTTGCATCTGCCTCCGTTCCGCAGAAATTACTCTCTTATTGTTTGTCCATATATGTATACTCGATCTCCATATATAAATACATAAATATATATCAAGAATTATATATATGTATATCTATAATCGAATCTTAGGCTCTAGTTACGTATACATCTTGTGCAGGGCATCGTTTCGGATGGCCCCCAACTGGGATAAGTTTGGAAACTCAACTGAAGGATGAAGTTCCGGGACACACCGCCAAGTGGCTTGATTCGAGCACAGCTCGTTGGATCCACTAAACTATATATGGTATCGGTATCGTAATCGTAATCGTTATCGTTAACGTTATCGGTATGGGTATGCGTATCTCTATAGAGCGTACAACTTACGATCAATTAACGGAACGAGATCAAAAGCAATTTTGCATGCAAGCGGGCAACCCGCGAACTCTCAAACAACTCAGGCTCTAATTACACTGGGAGAACAGAAAAAAACCGTAATGGCAGGACTAAAATAATAACACAACAATCGAATTCGTTTTCTCATTGTTTTTCAGATTTTTTCAAAACCAATAATTTATTTGCGTCTGCCGGAGCAAACGGTTTGTTGTACTCCTCTACTCGTCGCATCTGTCGGATAATCTCATAAACGCTTGTCATTAAACTAAACATAATAATAATAAAATTAGGCATTAATTTAATTTAAAAGGTAAACACACTACATATTACTTAAAGAAACAGCTTCACTCTAGTCGTTTGGGCGAGAACTAAACAAATTCGTTTAAAAATAAACAGAGTTAACTAAAATTGCATTATTTTATTTAATAAGCACAAACTATACACATTCAAATATTCGATCCTCCCAAAAACGTTTGTTTTTCGTTTCGTAATATGTTTACTTGGCTAACAAATTCTATTTATATTTAAGTTAAAGTTTAATAGTTTTATTTTTGTTTTTCGTTTCCTTTGTTACGTATCTTAAATTGGTTTAGAACTGGTTTTTTTTTACCAAAAATTCATATCAACAGAATTTTGCTCGCGTTTAACATTGTATTCGTATAGTTTTATTTTTTTTTCATTTTTGAGTATTTTTCGCGAAAATTAATTAAAACATAGCAGTAAGCAACAAAGGGGCAGGACAGAGGTTTAAATTTCGAGTGATCTCTCTACGTGTGGACAACATAAATCTTACGCTTGCGAATCTTTAAATTTTTTTCGTTTGGAACTAAATTAAAATTGTTGGTTTTCCTCGTTTACGTCTAAGTAGGTTTATAATCTGCGCTCTTTCCACTACTTTCATTTACTTAGCCTAGTTAATTAGTTTGTAGTTTTGTTTCATTTACGTATTTTCGGTTGCTGCTCAAACGCTTGAAATAATTCCATTAGGTTCGATTTAGGTTAAGTTTCGTATTCGCACAAGTACCATCAAAATATTTAAATATTATTCATTTAAGTAAATAGTTCATTTGTTACAATATAGTTGCTTTGTATCTGTCTCTGCGCCATTCCGTCTAATTCTTCCCTACAGATCCATTGATCTTCGGGTCCATGGATCTACGGTTCTACGGTTCTACGGGTCTACTGATCTAAGTGTCCGCCCTGGACCGCCGCCGCCGCTGCCGCTGCCGCCGCTGCCTTTTGGGCCTGCGCCTGCTTCTCCTGTTCGTTCAGCTCCTTGATCGCCTGGATCTCCTTCTTCAGCTTCATCCGCCGGTTCTGGAACCAGATCTTGATCTGCCGCTCCGTCAGGCAGAGCGCGTGCGCCATCTCGATTCTCCGTCTGCGGGTCAGATAGTGATTCGTATGGAACTCCTTCTCCAGCTCGAGCGTCTGGTAGCGGGTGTATGTCTGTCGGCCGCGTCTTCGCAGTCCATTTGTACCTGTAGATTGGAAAGGGAAATAAGTTAGCAAAAGGATCAAAAACTAACACTTATAAAGGTATTTTTCATTACAAAATGGATCTGATAGTGACATGAGCTTAAAATCTCTTATAATATCAGTTCCAAAATGTATGCCGGAGTTTTATAGAAAAACATTGACAAAGTGTTCGAATAGGGACTAATATTTATATTTGGATTTAAAATTTAATAAAAAGTTAAATATTTATCATAATAAATCAATTGCAATTTGATATATTTTTTTTCTGTATACGAGTATTTATATTTGGCCTTTCAACGGGCAAATTAAATTGAAAAATTGCAACAAGCTGCTCGACATTTGTTTGCTGTTCGCCGTTGTTTGGCCAAGTCGTAAATATAAATTCTCCTTTTTGCCAGCGATCATCAAGCAGCTCGAACGTAGGCCGGAATTGCTCAAAAAAGGGGGGGGCGGGGGGCAAGGGAAGCAAAAAATACATTTCATCTTTACGAGTATCGCCATTTGCCAGTTGGCAGTTGTGGTTTTTGTTTCTGCTGCCGGATCGTTACTTTAAATTGATCGTTTGCCGCTGCACCGCCGATGTTGCTGCCGTGCTGCTGTCATTGCATCCAGCCACATTAAAATGAAAAGGAGAAACGTGCGGCCACTCGGAGCAGGCATTCAGTACTGGCTTTGGCACTGGCTGTGGCACTGGGGAGATGGCGAATGCGAATGTGGCTACTTAAATTGCAGTTATGCCAGATAATGCCCCTTTAATTGGCAACCTGAGAGTCGAGATGAGGAGCCGGTCGCATCAACAGAACCCAACACAGCACAATGCCGTGTTTAATCTCTGATTTTAAATATTTATGAAGTTTAATTTGCCTTCAAGGGCAATAACTCAATTTTGTGTGTGCAAATGCACTGTAGCTGTCTCTCGCCCATCGCCCATCGCACATCGCCCATCGCACATCGCACATCGAAGGAGAGAACCAGACGATGTCTGATTTTATCGAAATCCCCCGCCCGACTTTCGCATTTTGGACACCAGCTCTTTCTCTCGGCCTGGGCACAATGTTAAGTTAAATATTATGAGCATTTATTATGTTATAAATTTGGCCTAAAGGTATTAACAAATTTATGCCGACACGAAAGTCATAAAGTGAAAACGCATTTATCTTTCACTCACACACACACACACACACACACACACACACACAAATGTGCTGGCAAAATTATTCCGGAGTGAGTGCAATTGTGGTGTGGGTGGTGGAAATAAATGGCGAAAAAATGTTATAGACAATAAAAATGATATGGAAATAAAATGGCCAGGATGCAAACAAAGAAATTATCATCTATAGGGGCTCACACATGCAGATAAATCTGTTTAATGTGGCTTTATTTTAAAATGCCTTACGAGAATTATAAAGACCCATTTAATGTGCGAGAAAATTGGCCAGTGACAGGTCATAAGCTTTGCTATGCGTCAGTTTATGGCAATTTGTCGAATATATTTTTTTAAGTACACAAAGGCTTTTCGAAAGAAAGTAATAGTAAAGTAATAAATAATAGTTTTCATTCAACATTAAAAATGGTGATTTGTTGTTGACGAATAAGTGCAAATTTCTTAAAATTATACTTAAAATTGTGTTATATGTGGCTGCCCTGGCTTAATATTCATTAAGCTTGTTTATTTAAAATGCTTTTGGAATTTCAATTAAACGAAGATGCTGCCTCGCAGAATTTCCAAGTAAATCTCGAGTACACTCCGCTCGATTCGCAGCCAAACAAGCAGCGTAAAACGCATAAATAAATTTATTTAGCTCTAAACCTGTTTGCTGATTAACTTAAATCCCCGGCAGTCGAGTCGCGTTCCCTTCGTGCCAGCTCCTTCGCCTGGAATACATCACGCTGAGGTTTAGCAAAAGTTTCATTTTATTTAGGAGTTGCCAAGCAAAGGGAGCAGAACCGACTTGAGGAGTACGTGAGCTTTGCTCGGCAATTTTAAATGGAATTTGTCACTCGGCGACCGACTATTTTACCCTCGCTTCCCCCTTAAAAATCCCTTTCCCAGCCATTCTGGTGGTATATGCAAAAATAAACTTTTTACGAAACTTTGCTTTGCCTCGGATTTTTTTTTGCCCCGTCCTTCTTCCTCTTGCGTTTAGATTTTTTTCCAGTGCTGGCCAAGTTTCCGAATTTATTATGCGAAAAAGTGCGAAATTCATTTTGCTGGCTCGCTTCTTTGCTTCTTCTTCATCTGCGTCCTGCTGTGCTGTGCCATTTTCTTTTGTAGACTTTTGGAAAATTTTTGTGTATTTCTAAGTACATAATTTAAATGCTGGTATGTGTGGGGCAGTAAGGGAAATGGTGGCGATGGCGGTGGCGGTGGCACAATAAAACTTTGTATGGCAAGGCGCGAAATTTCTCGTAGATAATTTAAACGAGGGCGAAACGGAGGTGGAACGTAGGATGGATGAGGGAGGGAGAGAGAGAGAGAGTCTAGGAAATCTTTTTTTTTTCGGAACACTCGTATTTATTCTGTTCCAGTTGGTTTTCCATGGGGCCTTCCATGGTTTTCCTTCGGCCGCCCCGAAGATACAATTTCAAGGTTTTGTCGACTCCGTCTTGTATTTTTTTCTCTTTTTTTTTTTTTTTTTTTTGGTAGCACAGCTGCGCCCGGGTCCCCAGTACGTGTTATATTTTTTAACTTAAATTCCTCAGGGATTTAAAGTTTTGACAGTTTACGTGTTTCCCATTTGCAGCGAACTTTGAACCGAAACGGAGCGATATCTATGCCCGTCTCGCTCTCTCCGCCTATCACCGTCTCTGTCCGTCTTGGGGGAGTGACTCACCCCCGGATTCGGAGCGTTGCAAGCGGCCATAAATCTCCAGGTGACGCCGACTCCATGTTGCATGCGGCACATCGTGTGATCTATGCTTCTATTATAACTATTTATATACACAGATGCGGATACATGCTATCTATCTATACACTACTTATATTTAATTCGATTTGGTTTCTCGACCCTATCTCACTGTTTTCTAGTTTATGTTTTGTTTTTGTCATCGTCACGTGCTATCTGGATGAGATTTTACAAGAATTTGGGGAGCCGTCCACGAGTGTGATAGGCTAAAATTCGGATGGGGACATTCCTGGTATGTATCTTCAAGATACTGTATTTAGATTACGAGGAATTGTAGAAGAAACATATTTAACGTCTCGGGCCCAACCGGAAATTAATTGCCTTTATTTTTTCCCAGAAACACCAAACCCAAAGGACACCACGAAACCCTTTTTCGAGGGGAAAGCTGCCAAAAAGGCGAGCAGAGAAATCGATTGGCCATCGATTAATTGGATGGCTTGGCACACATGTGTCCCCCCGCACGCATTTTATTCGCAATTTAATTAAATCTATTTTCGTGCGTGTTTGTCAGGGGCGTGTTCCACCTTGCCAGCGAGTATATGATGTACGCACACAAACACCCACCCACCCATCGACATCTGCCGGATATATAGATATATGGCCGCCTCTATATATAGGTGGGCTCGGTACATGGGCACCCGGATTCGAGTGTCTATAAAACAATTAAATGCGACTCAGTCTCAGTCGTAGACTCAGCCTCAGCCTGAGCTCCGGTTGAGGTTGACTGCGAGACGGAAAACTAATTTTCCGCACTGCCAATCGAGCACCACTAAATCTGTCAATTAAATTGGCCGCAGGGAGTACGAGACTCTGGGGACGGGGGCGTGGCTTCCTTGGATTTGGATCTCTGTTCAGACGTGATTATGGCCCCCATCCAGTGCCTATTCCTATGCCTATGCCACATATTGATGCTTGCGGTGGCAAGTGCGCAATTGAGTTGCAATTGCCAGCACAAACACGAGCACAAGTATCCGCAATCTGCAACCAGCAACCAGCAACCTGCAACTTGCAGCTGCCGGTGCAGTGCGGTGCGGTTATCAAATTTTGAGATACACGTTTAGGGTGTGCACCCCCACAACTTGGCCAGTATCTTATGGCTGTCGCATGCAAGAACTGAATTTTCAATTTTTCCCGAATCCAAAAACTCACAAGGCAATCAGTTCTTAATTGCTTTTTGGAAGCCGCAGTGGGTGAACTCAACTGAATCTGCATCTGCAGCTAGGCACTGCTAGTAGTTGAGATTTTCCCTGGGCTCTTGGCGAAAAATTATGTTCGCAAGAGGAATTGGGATCACTTCGAATCGGATCGCATCGCGGAATTCGTGGCGCGTACAGCCTCCTCCCAAAATCCAATGCCATGTAATTGTGGCCAAAATAACAAAAAAAAAGAAAAGGGCAGCTCTGGTGAAATTTCAGACAGATTGCCGATAAAATCCGCTTAACGAACGGGCTTAAACTTAACTCACGCACATTTTCGGTCACTTTTTTAATGATTTCTTTTTATTTCGGTAATTTCGACTTGCAAGCGCAGCTCTCAATGGCCGCCCGATCATCGGAGAAGTGGAACGGGCAGGGAAACTGGTTCCGCTTGGACTGGATCTGGCTATATGGACATGGACATGGCGGCGCATCTTACGCATGCCCAGGATCGAGCAAAGGGGCTTCTCTCTCGTCATTAAAATAATTCATTGCAAGAGGCTCGCGGTAGCTGCCGTTGCAACAGGTAGCAGGTCTCCCCGATTCAAGGGCCACTGACCAGCGATTCCGATCCCCGGTTTTGTGGCATGTTCCCAGTTTTGAGTTACGACCGCGCCTGTTGAGCTTGCAATTTAGCAGGCACAGCTTTTGTTTTTGGGGAAAAACGCAGACTCAAGAGGGTGCGACGACTACTGACGAAAGCTGATGAACTTCATTGTTTTTAAATTACCAAAACACCGTTTAATCTTTTATTTTATAGCTACAATTGGAAGAGAAACAAGTGCAAGTACAACTTTTTCTTGAATTTAAAGGTTGATAACTTAAAAATGATTTCATAAAAAAGGAAATCTCAGAAGAATTTGAAATAAAATAATTCACAAATTCAATATAATAAGGTAT